CAAATAGTATGTGCATGTGTGTAGGCAAATAAATGCACATAAAGTCGTATGTATCCAATGGCGTTTTTTTTTTCAATTTCCTATACAGTTTCGCCATAACGCAGTAACAATTTTGCCGACACTTGCCCTCTCCTCTACCCTTGCATTCGAATTTAATGAGAAAAGTTAATTGAATTTATTTATCGTTATAATTCACACTCACTCCAAAAAAGCCAGTTAAGAGTTTATTGATATTATTATTATTACTTTTTGCGCTTATTATTTTCAATTAAATTTTATACTTTTTCAGAGGAAATCACCGCTTGGGAGTTCGATGAGTAAATATTTTTATACCCGAGCGCACTTGTGCACAAGGGTATTATAACTTTGTTCACATAACGGTGGTTTGTAAGAGGCAAAACGAATTGAGATAGATATAGACAAATTTATACATAAATGGCCAGAATTAAAAAATAAATCGATTAAGCGATTACTGTATGTCCCCCCATCCGTCTGCCCGTCCGTCTCGAGTATACTCGAGTAAATATTTAGCTATCTTAACGAAACTTGGTATGTGTAATTATTTTCAGCGTAGGACGAATGGTATTGTAAATGGGCTACGCCTACCTCCCATATAACGGTAGTTTTCAGAAATATGAAAACTGCGATATTTTAGTAATTACTGAAGCTTATTCACTCAAAATTGATATTTACAATAATTTTTAGGTGAAAAATAAGAATATTACAAACTTTTGGGAAAATGGGCATAGCCACGCCCACTTATGATTACATGTGTATATATCTTGGTACCGCACCACCAATTTCTCACAAACTTGGCACACAGCCTCCGAGTGTATTTCTGCCATGAAAAACAGCTTCTCATAAAAATGCAATCGCCGTTCGGAGTCTGCGTAAATCTGTAGGTCACTCCCCTTTGTGTGGCAACATCAAGGCGCACGCCACAAATCGGAGGAGAAGCTCGGCCAAACACTAACATACATATGCGTAAGCGACAATCTACTATGTATATTATTATTATTGTATATACTAAAGCTAATTTATTAAAAATTGATGCTTGCAATAATTATTTTGCAAGAAATTTGCATATGATAAAATTTTGGAAAATGGGCGTGTCACATCCCACTTGTGATCACACATATGTATGTATCTCGGTAACGCTTGAAACTTCGATATTTCGAAATTAAAGGACGCCAATTTACTCAAAATTGATGCTAACAACAATCCCTTGAAAAGAACTAACATCATTTGAAATTTTGGTAAAAGGGCGGGATACCGCCCACATATGACTATATAAGTTTATCTCATTATATCTAACTGAACGTTCTATCGAAGATGTTCAAAATAGAGGTAAAACCACACCTGCTTACTATGTAGCGGTAGTTTTCGGAACGTTGAAAAACATATATATTGAATACTTGCGCCGGGTATTTAATCCGCCCGAACTTAGACTTTCTTACTTGTTTTTGTTCATTTAATCGATGTTAAAAATTTCAGTACTTTGAACAAAAGTTACCAGACAAAACGAAACAATTTATGCACCTTAAGATGCGGTAGATTTCAAGCCTTGTGCGGTAGATCGTCAAATTTAAAAAAAAAATAAGAGGTAGATCTATCGCATATGCAACCTGCTTAATATATGTAGATCGTGTCAGCTGACACGTTCTTCGTTTGCAGAGCACGACATTCACTTTGATGCGCATAACTTTAAAGCGGTGATCGGCACAGCCTTGCCCGCGGGCAAATCTCTTATAAGCTTTCTATACATTCTGTATAGTCGCGTGCAGAGTAAAAGCTCTCACTACCCATCGCTGCTTTCAAAGCTACTTTTGATAAATATTTATCGCTAAAGCTTTTCAAACAGTGCCAAAAACACCATTTTTTTACAGCTTAACCTGATGGAAGCTTTCTATCTACATAATTCGTAGTCAGCTCAAACCAAACTATCGTAAACAGCTTTAACATTTACCGCACAACATTTTTTTTTTTTAATTTTTGTTGCCTTTTGAAAGACGATCTATGGGTGTCTAAGACTTTTGGCTTAATGCGAAGCTTCTACATAATATTCCAATTGATCTCACATTTAACATAATTTTTCAACCAACTTCACGTTTTTTTTTTAATTCGTAATAATTAGGTCCGGCTTAAGGAACATATTGGATGTTTTCATGATGAACGGATTTGACATTCGTACGACTTTAGAGTTAGACGGCAGTATCTAACGTTTGTTTGATAAAAAAAAAATTGGGTGCGCTTCAAACACTGGTGTCTTGAAAATCGATCAAGAAGAGGTCATAACGGACGGGACAACAGCAGAAGTGGTTTCAGAGTACATGTAAAAATAAGCAAAACTCTGCGAATCCTGTGAGGTTTGCTATTTTTAAACATTCTTTAAATAAAGAATAAAGTCAAAATAACCAATTAGTCAGAAGCAATTCGTTGCTGGTTTTATTTTGAATTAAAATGTTATAACGGACGTGACATATCGGATGTGACAGATTTTTCCTCCATACAATGGTCGCGTTCGTAAGACGTAGCTGTTTAGCTCATCTGCTACGAAACTGCTGGCAACTGTTGAACACAACAATTACGTCTTAGAAACGGCTTGATGAATGTGCTGCCAAATGAACAGCTGATAAATGTAAACAAATGAAATTGCAACAAATAGAGATAGTTGCGCCGATACTATTTAGAATTCAACGCTGAGCGGCCGGCGTGTTGCAAAAATCGTTTAATGTTACAATGAATTAAACAGTGTAAAATTTTATATAGCAAACATCTTAAAAACATATATTTAGAAACGTATTATTATTATAAAATATTCTAGTTACTTTATCACATCAGTAATATAAAATATAATAAATTTGTTTGCAACTGCCACCTAACGAAGCGGCGTAAGTGCTTTCGATCAGCTGTTTATGCTAAGTCCCAACACGTTGAGTTCAGGTAGCGTAAAAATTTTTCGCTGGAAAAAATGGCGGAAAGTTGCCAACTGTTGGGCTGAGCGTAAATACTCAACTGTGCGTTTCTAAGGCAAATAGCCAAAGGTTGGGCAACAGCTACGTCTTATAAACACGCCCAATATTTATACTAATAATACAAACATTCACAAATGTTAATAAAAAAAATTATGAAAACGTAAAAATTTTAAAGGTTTATTCTGATTTGCGTAGCAATTAAATGGTCCCTTATTCAGTAAAAAAAATTACAACTGTTGGTAGTAGCGATTTAAATATATAAGTAAACTTACGCGCGGGCGTGCCGTTACAAAAAACAGAATTGGATTTTGACTTCGATTATAAAATTGCAAAAACTTTGCGAATTGGGCAAGACTATTTGGTTAAAAGCTTTTGTAGTAATATTGGAAATGTTTAAGGTTAGTTTTCCAAGTTTTGAAATGTAAGAATCTTTTCTGCTTTATGTTTAATGAGCTAAATTATCTGACGTTAGGTTACTCAAATTCCCATTGAAAAAGTTTTGTTAATATTGTTCTCGCAAGAACTTTTAACGGGAAGAAAACATGCATTTTATGTCGAACGTACTTTTTATTTTGACATCAGCGCCACGGAGGTTTAATTGTTTTGTAAATCTATGTTCTACTACGGTTTAACTAAACATGCCAAATGTGAAACAAATCAGAGCAGAAATAGGGTTTTTAAAAATATCTCGACCCTAGCGCGAATTCGCACAGGACAAAGGCAATTGGAGAACCTTTTTGGTCTCGGACCAAACCGACAAACGGTTGAAATGCCAAATAAGAAGAAGACATACATATGTTATGACTACCGAACTTACAACGAAAAGTGGCAGGTAATTGAAAAGGGGGTGAGGTGTACCTCCCATATAAACTTCACATATCTCTTATCTCTGGATCCGCTTATGCTTACGTCAAACACAGCCCGCATATGTTGTCATTAACGTACTTACGGCGAAAAGTGATGGTTATTGGAAACGCTGCAGCAATATACAAATGGGTCATTTCCAAACAAAGTGTACATTGCATAGTTTACTGACGTGGAAATTTGTTCAGAATACGAAATTGCTTTTTGACTCTTCAAAAGATAATTGTTTTTCTTATTTTTGCATTTTTGTAATATATTTTCGAGAATGTCACTTTTTGCTAAGGGAATAAATAAGTTTAGAAACTGTTAGAAAAAAGTATACTAACCGATAAGCACTGTACTGATTTCTAAAATTAAATGCATTTTGAAACTCATTTAAGAAACTTATTTCACGAAAATTCAAAAACATTGAAACTCCTTAAGCAATAAATTGACATTGGTAATTATCTTATTTTTAGTGTTTTTTTGCATAAAACACTGGGTGACATTCGGGAAATATTTAGCCGTAGGTACTTAGAATAAAACTATGAAATTTAAGGTGGTCATTCCCAAACAGTTACGCCTTTGTTCATTGTTTCTTTGTTTAAACTTTTTTTCATGTTGATTACACAGGTTTACAAAAACAAAGTTTATGCATATTAAACCAAACCTATATATCGCTATGTTATTCGACACGCTTCATGCATGTTATCGAATAACTTGAGCGGGGACAAATATTTTTATATGGCGTAAGTAAATTATATCAAAGAAATACCGTTCGCAAAAGAAAACAAAACGGCTTACAATATTAAAAAAAAACAGCTTTGATAGCTTATTATTTGGATCGTATAACGCTGTTTTTGATTTTTTATTTTTAGGTCCATAAAAAAATTTAAGAAGAGGGGACAAAAAAATACCACTTTGTTTGGAAATGACCCTGATACATAT